CAATAGGGAAACTTGAAACGAACGCTATCGCGTTTGTATTTCTTCAGCGTGAATTGGGAATGTCTCATCTATGTTTTACTTGCAAATGGACATGATTCACACGGCAGGTTTATTATTTTTATAGAGATGATAATGCAGTATTGTGAGAATCCGTTCCTACATGGTTTTATCGCAGATTTCCAAACAGAGCTGTTGTAAATCTTTATTGTTATTTCAATCCCCAGCTATCCCTGTTAGCTTTTGTTTGGTTTCGCTCATGTCGCGTTGTTTACATTGGCCTTGCGTTCGGTTTTGCGTCCGCGGTGCAATATGTGCTTTGTCAAAATAGAATACGTGAAACTTCATGCATGAAATAATTTACAACTCCTTTAGACTAGCATATTAAAAGTCTGACATGTTATTGATCAATATAAGAACAGTGACCTTTCCAAGTTTGTGGATCAACGCAAGCCCAGCGTGTAAAAATTATTCCATCAGCGTTCAAGACGACAGCAGAAACAAGATTTAATAAATTGGGCATTCCTAAATAATGGATGTGTACACAGTTTGTACTGAACTAGAAATTATTAATTTGCAAGCCTTATAATTTAGTGGGTACCGTATACTAAAAGTCGTGTTTTGGTTATAAACATACAGAGCAGTCATGGCAGTTTCAATTACAATACCCAGTTAAATTTGAATTCAGTTAAACAGCGAAGAAGGCAGGACACAAACGTATCTTTTCATGTTCAAACCAAACATAAACACTAGTTAAGTTTCACAATACTAAGAACACAAACCGCGAACTTTATTTGCTTATTTCATATCCTTAAATCAATTTTACTCTAGCCGCTTGACACAAATTTCTCCGATTGGTGTTGGCTGTGTGATTTCAAACAAAGGCGGATGACCTATTTAATTGTACGGGATGACCCAGTGCAAATTAAGTTTAATAAAAATGCGGTCCCCCGTAACAAAAGAAGACACGGCGGTTTAGTTTGGCCAACGGTGCGCTCAATATTACGACGAATGATTAAGTCAGCAGATGCGAGACAAAGGCGAAACAATTTTCACGTTGGTCTTTAGGGATTTGTCCCGGTGGTAATCCTGTTTGCGGAAAAAAATTTCAGTCTGCAAACTTTAGGAATTTCAAATCCCCACATGTCTTTTCTGTTAATTCCGTTGTTTCAAAGGATAACAACGTTGACTTGTCGACATAGTTCGATTATTACACGAAGAGGATCAAATTCTGCAGCCAAAACTCGCATGATAAAACTGCAAACTTGTGCTCGACATTGGAGGGGAGGTGGCAAGAGTTGAATTGACTTTTATCGTAAGCAGACTCCTTTAAGATCCTTTTAACGAAGACCTTCTCGAACTTAGCGCGCAATCTTTTTAATCTCGCGTGTACTTTGCGTATCCCTGTAAAGGGATTATAAGTTAAGGTTCTTTGTAAGGGATAGTATAGGTCATGTATTCGTTATAATTAGAGTTCTGTGTCGAAAACAACTTTCCAATGTGGAAAGCAGCCTGTGAGGTAAAGTTAGGACAAGGCACGTGTTGGACAGTTGAAAGGTTTTCCGCACAACAGAGGAAAGTCACTTTTTCCTCCAGAAAAAAAGGTTCCTAATTTTCTTGTACAAAACTTTTTCTTTTTCCACTCATTTAACCCACAAACAAAATATAGTAAAGATTCCTTTAATGACTGCAGGGTGGAGTGATGTTATCGACATGATCAGTGCGCATCTCATATCCGTAGAAGAGTGAACGTAGTTCAGGCGTTTAGCCCGTGCAATAACATGTATCTGATTCTTTTCTTCCACCTGATTGATTCAGTCCTCTTTTATTCCAATATGCATAATTTCGCCTGTCACGAAAATGAGTTTCAGCTCCGACTACCTTCCTAATGGAAGGAAATAAGGGGCTTCACTGTTTTCAATTTGTGAAAATCGAGTGTGCATCATTTTCCTGTCACTCTTGAATTTGAAACATGTCATATTTTAAGTCGAAAACTTGAATGTGTTCTTGAAAACGAATGACCCCTTCAGAGAGGCATACTGAAGCAAGAGATAACATCACATGATAATTACGTGTTTTGGAAGATGTCTGTCGTGATAGGATTAACGACGAATAGACTATTTTCAGCCTAAGGGATCTGTTTTCGCTCGTATGATTTCAATTTGTCGGAGAATTTCACAAATTTGTAACCCACGGGTTGGAGTGAAGATTCCAGAGATAGCCTTTAACTACAGTAATTTCCTATTTATGCATCCGCTTTAAGTGACCGTATTACTTCAAACGAAGCAAAGTTTACATTGATTTAAAAATACAGAAATATACCGATATAACAAATTTGTCCCACGTTCCTCTTTCGATCAATAAGTTCTTGCGGTGGATTTCAGTTAAGAGTTAGCTCATAATTTAGCCTCACTTCAAAGGTAGCAAAGTGGCCAAAGGATATTCAATATTAGTTGTTTTTCCTGTTAGGAGAAATATTCCTGACCTCATTTGTCAAGAAACATCAATATATTTACGAAGAGAAAATGTTTTCGCGTCAGATCTACAGGTGTTGTTATATAAGTACAGCGGCGGATTAAGTCACGCATATAGCCACAATTTTGATTTTCTTTCAATCCCGAACTAAGTAATATCGCTGACGGTCTCTTTATGCACATGTTACTAGTTCTGAATTTTTCAACTTAACGTTCTATTAAAAGTTAAACAAATTCCGAGGTTTGTCTCATTCAGACCACCAGTGCCTATGTTTACGCAGTTTTCAGCCTGGCAAGATGTGTTTGCGGCCAATTTGGAGTACCTTAATACAAATACGTTGTCGGCGTATTATTTGCGAATGCAAGATTAAAGAGAAATATTGTAAATGAATTAATGTAATTAATTCAATCTCAGTTTCCCATGAGTTTCTTCAGTTTTGTCTGATTTTGGCGGCTTTGCGGTTGTCATTGCTAGGGGTAAGAATTAATTTCTTTCTTCAACTGTTCTTAGATACCTGTCCACGAGGAGGCTGCTCCAGGACAAATTTCCAAACTTAACAGGTTTCCTTAAATGTTCATTACATCAGTGGTTTTCCTCGCGTGATTTTCGTTTAAAGATGTAATCGGAAGTCATGGCTATCTCATATCACGCCTATAAAAGGGGTTTTAAGAAAGCACAGGAAAACATTTAGGGTTTTGTCTGGTTTGATGTTTTTTCTTATGTGTAAACAAAAAAAAAAAAAAAAAAAAAAAAAAAAAAAACCGACAATAATAACCGCCTTGTTGGAAAAAATGGATCCTGCCCCCTTAAAACCACATCTGCTTTGCCATTAAAATCCTCGATGGGGCCTAGTTAATTTGCAGGCTACGAGATATTTTATGTTTTTCGAATACCAGACAAATTAGTCTTTCTTTGCTCTCCCGTGAAGGGTTTTCAATGCCAGCAAGTAATTGAGTTAAGTGCCACGGCATATGGCGGATAGGTTACACTTCGTTCATTATATTCATGCGCATATCACACACGACACACGTGCTCATTGGTCCGAAATTGTGTTGACAGAAATAAAGGGAGCATGTGGGAACAAATAGCTGACATTTAACTTTCCCTACCCCAAATTATTTGATTTTTTCGAGGCAGTGCATGACTTGTAAGTTATTGTTTGGTAGCCATTTCGTGACGTAAAAATGAAAGTACATTTGACTCATTTTAAAGGTTGTTTGCGTCAAAATACACACATCTACAATTGACTCTTCAAAAAATTACAAAATATCAGAGTTTACCCGTTTGAGTAACATCGTTCACCCTGACTTTCTCCGCCCATTTATGAGTTACACCCATTGACCTTGAGAAACAAACCTTTTGTTCTTTTATTGGATGTAACCTTGAAAGTACTATATATTTCGGGCCCTTATCCAGAAACATCACCCGTCCGCCTTCCTAATACAAAGAAAAACAAAACATCTCATACAAAACTTATATCAGGGAATAGAAATTTGTTTTCTCTCCTCAACAATTTCTTAACGCGTTTTTCTTGTCTTAACAATTTTAATTTATTTTTTCACATTCGACCCATTTATACCTATCAACAAAAGCCACAGTTTCCGAATTTAATCCACTTTTCCTGAAACGTATATGGCCTGTATAGGCCATTAGAATGGCGTTCCTTCTGTTTCCATATTTTTTTTTTGTGTGTGTGTGTTTGTTGTTGTTGTCTAAAAACTGACTTGTGTGCGTGTTGTCAGTTGTTTATTTTTCTGATCAGTCTCCTTGAGGGTTCTTGAATACAAAGCTTATTTCCGTTGATGGCTAATATTGTCTTGCTACTTTTTTAGCTCTTACGTACGGGCACCACCTTGATAAAGCTGCTTGCATTTAATTATAATTCTTATTGCTTAGGCATTTTTTATACCCTTCTTTCAGGTTTGGCAATGGTGACAACGTTCTCAATGTCCTTCCGATGTCTAAGCTTCACATCGTTTGTCCAAATCCGTCCACCATCTTGAAAAAAGTTCGAGAAAATACACCCAAAGACAAACTTTATGAAAATGTTTGGATTGTGTCACGCGACAATTACGACAGCTGTAACACAGACTCCTCTAAGGGGAGTAGGCTTCTTCTGCGATGTACCACACCCCTGGCGCTTAAATATTATACTCTGGTGTTTCAGAGGTTCAGCGCTGTGTCAAACCAAGTGTTCATTCCAGGGCGAGAATATTATCTTATTGGTATGTTTTCCGTTGAATGGCACAATTTTTAGTTGAAGGTGCTGTGGCCTAATACTGAGCTCGCCGGAGCCTGGGTCGAGAGGTCTGGGTGCAAGTCGTGACCGGATCACTGTGTTGTGTCTTTGGGTACAACAGTGTAACTCCCATAGCGCCTCTCTCCGTCCACAAGTAGAGATGGTGACTAGGAAATTGTCACGGAACCTGACGAAATTCTGGAAAAGGAGGGGGAGGGAATGCGGGTTACGTGAGTTAGACTAGCATCCCTTTCAGGGGAAACGGTATCATTCTTAGTCGCATTATGAAGCGGAAATCGGGACATGCTTCAACGGAGTAAAAGAATCCTTAGCAGTATTTACCACTACAATATTGTGTAGTTTCGTGATTGACTTTTTCTTTACGGAATTAAACTCCAGGCACCGGAAAACTCTTAACATCTTAAAAGAACCGATTATCTCGAGGAACTTCACAAATGCTTTTCTTGTTTTGGTTTTAACTTCACATCATCCCTGAAAGCATATTCAATGTTATTGCTGTTCACATTTCAGCGACTTCAGATGGTACGCAAGGCTCAATAGACAATCGATTGGGAGGAAACTGCAAACACAACAAAATGAAACTAAGGATATTTGTGTGTACAAGCAGCAGAGGTAAAAACCTGTAGTTAGTGGGACGTATGGCAGGATTAGATAGATTATTCGACATTTCCAGAACTTGCTTTTACCGGTAATTTACCAACTTTGTATGGTGTCCATCGCACCAGCAACACGTTACTAATATTGGTTTTCTTTTTTTTTTTTTTTCCTTCTTAAGATCCCCGGTACAACCGAAAACCTACAACCACCGCTACGAAACCTCCAACAACTTTACCTACTACAACTTTACAATCTACCATGTCATCTACGACTACCAGCTCCACTTCTACTCTTCAAACCACTAATTCGATTAGAACGAATGCGCTTACTGAGGAAATCACTTTATCAACAAGAACAACAAGCACCAGCGAATCGTCCACAAGAAGGATCGCGTGGCAAACAGAAGCTGCTGAAGAACCAGTTATGACTACTGACTGAAATGTAGTTGGTCTTCCAGTGAATGCAGAGCTGAGCAACCCCATCAAACCAGGTAAAAGAAGTGATCTTCTAAGCTTTCTTCAGACCGTTGCCTTTGAACAGTCGCCTCTCAAAAATTGATACTGGTCGGAAGGATCACATTCCGTTAAGTTTAAATGGTTGTTAGTTTTTCCTTGGTAAGCTCGACCCAACTAGAGGTGTATCTGTTTTCTCTCTGTACGATTTCCACGCATATTCCGCATGTAAATTCATTCCTTTCACACAGTGTTTCCATATGGTTTTTTAATTGTGAAAAACTCGCACTGGTGCATGCGCTTTGAAGCCTTCGCGGCGATTTGCGGCTTAACCGTACACGAATTATTAACCGTGAGGCCTCGACAAAGTGACAAACTTTTTCACGTGACGTGCGCCTTGCTTAGTCTCACCCATGTTATATTTCTTCAGTTGCAGAGCTCAATTGGACAATCATGATTCCTTTAATGGCCTGCCTTCTGCTGTCAATCATGGTGAACATTATCTTCTTTTGCCGACTAAGGAAACGAAAACAGGGATATGATCTCGACGAGAAGAATGCGAAAATTATCGAAGCTAATTCATTAAGACACCAGGAGAAAGACAGAATAGAACCACGGGTGGAGAGAACTTGGTTATTATGCAGACGGTCAGCAGACGTTACGGACGTGTGAGATGTTTTGTTGAAGAACAGGAGAAGTGGAATGAGCAATTCAGCTGTAACTGGTGAGGATGTGACCAGATGTGACCAGTTAAAAGATGACAACCACGACGGGTTGAGTTTCAGTCAATCACTGCGTGGCAACTGCCAGGCTGTAAAAAAAGCCAAAAACGAAACGGTTGTTGTGTTCACCTGTTCAGTTTAGTAATTCTGTTCGTTGGTATTTGGCTTTAACGTTACATTCTTATGTGGGTGTTCCCTGCTAGCTAAAAAAGGTTCGATTGCATATCTTGGTGGAGTTTTTAAATTGTCTTAACATTGCTTTCGAAGGCCACCTTTCCATAGCTCTCTTGTGTTCTTTGTGATAGCTTTGTCGCCAGTCTCTAGAATACTTGGTAAAGCTTGAGTAACAGCTTTTAACACTAATACTTCTTGGAGTATTTCGGTAACCATCAACCCATACCGTCAAATCTTGGCCCGAAACTTTGGTTTCTAGCCTCTTAAAGATATCTAGGACTCGGTAAAACGCCTCAACAGCTTTCTGCGATTGCATTGTTTGAAGAAGGGTTGTGTTACTAAGATAAAAGATCAAAACTCATCGCATTTGGACACGAAAGAAAAACGTTGATGGGTTCAGTTTCAGAAAATTTAACTTATGGTGTATTTGATCAAAATTCAACAAGAATTAAAAAAAAAATTGAGAAGTCACAAACGGCAGTGCAATTCACGTACAAAACATTTTCTCTATTTTATTGAAAAGGACAGAAAACATCAACACGAAACAGTTATGTGTATTTTGTTTGTTGCAATAATGGCCCGTCCTCTTGTATGTAGTGATTGATGATTGTCGAGGTGCAGCTTTTGTTGGGTAGTGATGAGGCTGAGCAAGCCTTTCCCAGAAGACATGTTAATGATTTGACTAATTAACTTGTGAGTTGGCCCTGGCTTCGGCGCGAGTGTCTCTTCGTCCTCGGGAAAGTATGGGGCCCTGGGCAACGTGAGCCGGTCACAAGTTTGCTGGAGTCTCGCACTCATGATTAGTGCCAGACCATCAACCATCTTCCCGCAGCGCTAATCATGAGGGCCTGGCACCTAGGGTATTGACCAATGAAATGCCTGAATTGTAGTGTTAGTTATTGCGTGTATCTTCTCGTTTTGTGGGTCGTTTTATTATTTTTATACACATATGATAAATATATGACAGATATTCTCTAATTATGATGGTGTAAATAGTTTGTATTTAATTAAGAATATTTTGAAGATAGGCGTTTGAATAACATGTAAATAAACCAAAGCACATGCCAACCACAAATAAAGTCGAGTTTTAATGTTATTGTGGCTGTGATATGATCAAATGGTTTTTCCTTTTTTTTTTTTTTTTGTATGCCTTAGCTTCATTTACAGGTTGATATAATGATCATTACTTGGGAAAGTTGTTGAGAGTGATATATTTGTTACGATGTTACATGCTGAAGATTATTTCTCTCTTCTGTCGAATGTCACACACTTCTCTCGTAAGTGGGTGTGTTTTCTCGCTTCTGGCTCCCTGTAGCTCTGATTTGAAGTTAAGGTTTCATTTCCAAGTCATGATCTTTCAAAAGTTCCATCTTTTATTTAACACAAAAAAAAAGCATCGGCTGTGTTCTCTTCTGTTGTAAAGCACGCAGGAAGCGGCTTGAGCACGATAGAAGTGTGGTTTTCCTGCGAGCGGAGAAAATTATTAAGGAGGAGCTGCTTAAAAGCTAGGATAGATGCATGCTTAGGTTTTTCTTAGCAAAGCGTGATACCAACTTTTTTTTCTTAACCAATTCGCGTCGAAAGTAAGACAGGGTGGACCGTCTATTCTTTACTATCATTTGCACTACCTATTGTGAAGAAAACGTGCCGAACCTCTTACAAGGAAACAAATTGAATCTAATTTTTTTGAGTGTGGTCGGCACCGGGGTCAAATACGATTAGTGGTCCCGACCGAAAAAAGCACTTTCCAAGATAACGCGTCGAAGCTATTTAACAATTTACCAGAATCTATTAGAAACTGTAAAGATTATAGCACCTTTTTAAGACTTTCAAGGAATTTTCTTATGTAAGAAAGTACAGAGTGATTAGATAATTTTACTGCAATTCAGTTCTGTTAATCCTACTTCTACTTTTAATTGCATATTGCGTAATTTGTTAATATCTTAATTTGATTAATTTTATTTGTAATTGATGTATTTTAACAGGGAAGAGCCACCTAGTGGACCTGTTAATAAATCATTATGAATATTATTATTATTATTATTATGTCGCAGAGAAATCAACTGAATGCTACATTCTAATCAGGCAGCACAGGGCGAAAACCGTAACCTGTGAGCCATGGAGTAAAAAAATAAATGTACGTTAACTAATCCTAAAAGCTTTTACGTTGTGCCTACGGTCCTCCTTCTAGCAGGAAGTCAAACTGCCACCTTGAAAGTCCGGGCAATATTCAGCGTGCCCGAGAGCACTGCCCTCTGCATCTTTCGCAGTACGTCTGTGCTTCTGCCTCNACAATTTATCACTTATAGAGCGCTATTTACAATGACAGATCAACAGCGCTTTACAATCAATCCTAACCCGCCCATCCCACCCCAGGGGAGGACATCCATCACACAGTAATCTCGTGCGTGGGAAATTAACGTCTCCTACCCCTAACCCTGTAGGAGACGGGACCTCCATTTATTCGTCCCTATCCGAGAAGACTAGAATATCTAACCATTTCTTGATGTTATAGAAAGGAAGCATATTCTTCTCAATTATTTTAAGACCTTGAGTGTTGGTCCGGCCGGGGCTCGAACCCTCGATCTCCCGCACAACAGTCCAGCGCTCTATCCATTGAGCTAACCGGGAGGCGGTATATAGGGACATCCCAATAAGCTTTAACATTCTCTGACTCATACACGGGCTTCGGCTTGTCGGGTGAGTACCAGGGTCGTATCTCGTCTATAAATCCCTCATCATACAACAGTTGGTAAAACTGTACATTCAGTACTGCGTCGTGTCTAGAGAGATACTTGCACACCACGGGCGTGAACTCGGACTTGACTGGCGGCGAAACTCTTCCAAGCGCTGTGTGCTACAAATCGTATCCCAACATGGAACAAATAGAAAAGCGGATCGAGAAATTTCGTAAATGGTATCGGAGCACATCTTTAAGACGACGGGGATGTATGTTCCAGTTGGATCAGGTGACCTGCGTTCAGATTAAAGATTACCGTGTTCAGAACTGAACAGTGTTTTAGGAGGGCTGAGGAAAATTCTAGAAGCAAAAGGTAACACGCACGTTGGCAAAGCACGCTAAGTGAATTAAAATTATGTTAGAACTGAAACTGGTTGTTTATTTCAAAAGACCTTGGTAAGGGCTTTGACAGACAGGTCATTTGAAAGAAGTTTTGGCTTGACTATGCGTCTTATTTTTTGGTTTCTGTTGAATAGTATCCATATATAACAGGAACAAGCTTTATACAGAAAGGTCTCGACCCGGGTCACCCTTTGTTTGTTGGGTAACCCTTTTTGAGAGCTGGGTCCTTTAAGGAACCGTTTGTTTTATACAGTGTCAAGACATTTAATTGAATCATTATTTTTCCCTGACTCTGTCATTCTTTTCCGCTAGGCATTTGCAGAAAGACTTTTTTCGAAAGCCATTTTCCAGTGTTGCTGGTATCGCGAGTACTGATAGGAAGGCGCAGCATGTACCACGCCCGCCATTGATCCATTCACGTCTTACGGACTCCCAACTTTTCCTAGAAGGAAAAATCACTTGAATTATATTTCTATAGTAGTTTGCATTTATTAAGCTTTCTTCTGATATATAGTTTGCAAGGATTTAATGAAAGTGGCTCGTGTACGATTTTTTTCCTAAGGACACCTGCGAAGGTTGGAAGTAACCTTAAGACTTGGATAGCGGGATATTCGACCACAAAAAGTCGGTGGTAGTGTGACTAGCACTGTGGCATTAAATTCTGCTATATATCTTCTTTAAAACTGATCCATTATCATTTTTAACTGAATTCGATAACTTTGACGTTGATGCATCCTTGTCCTTTACTAAAAATAATCATTCCTGATCTCCAACATATGCAATGTTGGAAGGTTGCTAAAGGATTAGTTGATCTCTTTGTAAACTAGTTCTCCTAGTTCCACCGTCTACGTGATCAACGCTGCGCCATCTTTTTACCAAGCCGGCAATATTAAACAGTAGTCGAGCGTGTATGTCATACAATCACTTACAATGTAGCTGGGGCAAAGAGGCTGCCAGAATATATCATGCACTCCGAGGCCAGATACCATATGACAGTACACCGCAAGAGATTACATATCAAATGTATACAGTAATCCTCGAATAAAATATGTATGTAAAATATGTATATAAAATATCTATATGCGTGTCAGTTTTTCGACCATTTTCTTTTTCTTTCCCTGTGCTGAGATAGATCACCGGCTTATTTGTTTTTCGGTGAACCAGCAACTATCTCAAGCTTAACAAATAACAAGTCAAACATTTTGGTCGCCCTAAATTTTTCTTACATTTTAAACTTTGTAGACTAGAAACACAACATGCCTAATGAATGTCGAAGTTGACCGCTGAATAGAATTGTAGCCGCGATCTGATCAACGATGGCGGATTGTCCTTTTGATGAACATCAGCTCTTAGGGTATCAAATTATCTTTTTGCCACCAACACATCGAATCTGGTACGTTGTTGACATAATGGCTACTTATCTAACAAATGATATCAAGCTAAAAGTTGCAACTGAGACACCACATACACATGTATGTACTATCAAGTTTCTTCCTGGATTTCTTTTGTCAGAAAGTTCGACAACATGCGCCCTTGATGTTCATCAACAACTGCTGCGTTTCCTCGAGAACAATCCAAATATGTGTATGATGGACGATCCTCGCAGTAGATAGCGCTATTTGAGCAATAGCGAAATTCAGACCTGAAAAAAATCAGGCCTGTACGGGACTCGAACCACTGACCTCTGCGATACTAGTGCAGCGCTCTAACCAATTGAGCTAACAAGCCAACTGAGAGCAGGCCGTTAAGTTGATTCGTAATGAACCCGTGAAAGTGATAAATGAGATAGAATAAATATATGAAAATCATATATTTTGAACTGCGGTATTTGATACGTATGATGGACGATCCTCGCAGTAGATAGCGCTATTTGAGCAATAGCGAAATTCAGACCTGAAAAAAATCAGGCCTGTACGGGACTCGAACCACTGACCTCTGCGATACTAGTGCAGCGCTCTAACCAATTGAGCTAACAAGCCAACTGAGAGCAGGCCGTTAAGTTGATTCGTAATGAACCCGTGAAAGTGATAAATGAGATAGAATAAATATATGAAAATCATATATTTTGAACTGCGGTATTTGATACGTATGATGCACGATCCTCGCAGTAGATAGCGCTATTTAAGCAATAGCGAAATTCAGACCTGAAAAAAATCAGGCCTGTACGGGACTCGAACCACTGACCTCTGCGATACTAGTGCAGCGCTCTAACCAATTGAGCTAACAAGCCAACTGAGAGCAGGCCGTTAAGTTGATTCGTAATGAACCCGTGAAAGTGATAAATGAGATAGAATAAATATATGAAAATCATATATTTTGAACTGCGGTATTTGATACGTATGATGGACGATCCTCGCAGTAGATAGCGCTATTTGAGCAATAGCGAAATTCAGACCTGAAAAAAATCAGGCCTGTACGGGACTCGAACCACTGACCTCTGCGATACTAGTGCAGCGCTCTAACCAATTGAGCTAACAAGCCAACTGAGAGCAGGCCGTTAAGTTGATTCGTAATGAACCCGTGAAAGTGATAAATGAGATAGAATAAATATATGAAAATCATATATTTTGAACTGCGGTATTTGATACGTATGATGCACGATCCTCGCAGTAGATAGCGCTATTTAAGCAATAGCGAAATTCAGACCTGAAAAAAATCAGGCCTGTACGGGACTCGAACCACTGACCTCTGCGATACTAGTGCAGCGCTCTAACCAATTGAGCTAACAAGCCAACTGAGAGCAGGCCGTTAAGTTGATTCGTAATGAACCCGTGAAAGTGATAAATGAGATAGAATAAATATATGAAAATCATATATTTTGAACTGCGGTATTTGATACGTATGATG